TGACAAGTAAAGCATTTCAGGCCCTGCCACAGATGGGCCTCTGGCCAGGCCAGGGTGCAGATGGGCCTCTGGGCCATGGAGACCTCTTTGCAGCAGGCACGAAGTGGCCAGGCCCCACAGAGAGCAATTGGTGCATGGATTTGTGCGCAGAGCTACTAATGTCAGATAAGTTTCTTATCTTCATTTCATTTATCTATTTTCTGGAGAATTCTCTTGTTCTTTTTTTTTTTTTTTTTTTTTTTTTTTTGTCTCCCCATTTTGGTTGCCTGTTTGGGTTTGTGACTATGTATTAGGTAGATCTGCTATGCCTCCAAAGCTCTAGTGCAGGACAGTCAAATGCTGTTTCTGACTAATTAGATCAGGCAAAGACTCAAGTCCTCCAGAGTCTCACCTCTGCCTATAGACTGATTGGATTCAGTCTGGAGTAGCACTCTGGCAATTGTTCACAGGTGTGGTGAGAGGTTTTCCAACAGGGTGGGGCAGTTGCTTCTGCCTGGAGGCTAATTGTTATTCTCAGTCTCTTAATGGGTCTCAGAAATGCCACGTGGTGGGGCAAGGGGTTTTCTGGTAGGGTGGGTCAACTGTCTTACCCCCTCCCCAAGCAAAAACCATTCTGCCTGAGAAAGATTACCTGTGCAGTGTGAGGAATGACTCAACACAGAAAACCAGGCTGTCTGCCTTCTGAGCTCTAACCCTAGAACCCCAACCCTGGCTTCTGCTCACTCAGCTTCAGTCCATTCTGCCCTCCCTCTGCTGGAGCCCAAGGTGAGTGCCTGTGCGTAAAGTTTTGTGTGTTGGCCCTTTAAGAGAGTGCTTGCATTTCCAGGCGTCTCTCCCTGGAAGACAGCAACCCTGCTGCTTTTCACAGCCAGATGTTTTGTGGGCACCTTTCTCAGTTCTGGTGCTCTCTGCGGGGGGGCCCAATTGGGGATTAGACCCCAGAGTTCACAGTGGCAACCTCCCACAGCTGGACAGCTCTCCAGAACTTCAGCTGCTGTCTGTGGTGCCCAGCTAGTCTTTCGTGTCTCTGCCCTTCCTACCAGTATCTATGTGTTCTGTACTTTCTGTCCTGGTTATCAGGGTTCTCTTCAGGCAGTCCTCAGTTGATTACTTATGCTTTTCTTTTTTGGTATTTTAGTTGTTATTCTAGTTTGGTCGTGGGAGCATGTCTGCATAGCTTGTACTTAATCCGCCAACATTTTTAATTTCTTCAATTGGGTTTTCTTTTCAGACACCCAGAATTCAGTACTAGGGTGCTGTTCTCATAATATCCACCAGGAGGCCCTATTGTCACACCTCCCTGCAAGGGCAAGAACTTCCTGAATGTCAATTGGGCTTTGTAGAGACCCCCTCCCCACCCCCCATCATTCCAGACCTTTCAACTCCTTTCTTTCTTTTTTTCTTTTTTAAAAATATATTTTATTAATTTTTTACAGAGAGAAAGAGAGGGATAAAAGTTAGAAACATCAATGAGAGAGAATCATTGATCAGCTGCCTCTTGCACGCCCCCTACTGGGGGATGTGCCTGCAACCAAGGTACATGCCCTTGACTGGAATCGAACCTGGGACCTTTCAGTCCACAGGCTGATGCTCTATCCACTGAGCCAAACCGGTTTTGGCTCAACTCCTCCTTTCTGCTCTTGGTGTTGGTCCCTGAGGCTCTCAGAAAATCCAAGTGCACTCTTGGACTCTCGGGTGCCTAGCCTTCACAGCCTCGCTCCTCCCACGAGGGCCTGCCCTGCCCCCACGGCACCACTGTTCAGAGGGCTGCACGGGTTGCTGGTGGCTGCACCTCCTGGTGCTCAAAGCAACCCCAGCCTGGTGACTCAATCTGAAGGGTCAGAATTATTTCTGTGTGACTTCAGTGCTTCGTTCCAGAAGGTTCCATCATGTGTTCTGCTGACTCATGCATGTGGCAGCCCTGGGCAAATGCTTCCCGCCCTGCATGAAGACTCCTGGGCTCTGCTTTGCAGATAAGTTTCCACTACCTTCAGGATCCACTGCCGTCAGGAAGCTGCTCCAAGCAGCAGCCAACACCCAACGAGTCGGTAACCCTGTGCTCTGTGAGAGTGTAATCACCAAATTCCTTCCGCCTGTTTTCTAAGCTGAAGTTAACAAGACGCTATGTGGTCCAGCCTTTCCCATGGAGCCTGGTGCCCTCTGGGTCCCCTAAGCACCTCCGGGCACCCGCCTTTTCAGAGGCAAGCCCAGTTGTCAGTAGCTCCCCACTGAACCAGAGAAGCACATCCCCTTGGGCTGTCCCCTGCAGCAGGGGGTGCAGGAGATGAGGGCAGGACTCAGGCTGACTCTGCCCCCAGGGCAGCTGTGGCAATGTCTGGGAACAGGTTTGATTGCCACCCAGGAGTGGTGACCAGGTCAGTGCTGACATGGTACAAGGTACAGGATGCCCCCACCAGAGAGCCACCGTAGATCTGTGCCATACCCGGCCCAGGGGGCATGGCTGTGCTGAGACGTTCCCCAGCCAGCCCCATGGCTGTGCCATGCCCGGCACCCACGGATGGGGCAGAGTGCTTGCCGGGGACCTCCAAGGCTGACTGCTCTCTGCGTGGACGCCATTCCCAGGATGCTTTCCCCATCCTCATGGCTGTGCAGGGGTCCCCAAGAGACGGGGCTGGGCCTGCCTTCCTGGTGCAGCAGCAGAGGGGTGGCTGGCTGACATGTGATCCGAGTGCCTGCACCCCTGGCTGTGGGCGCGGAGGGTGTGGCTGGGATCACCCCCCTTCGCTTCTAGGGTTGGGCTACAGAACCCCATCGGCTTCTTCCCAAAAAAGCATTGAAAAGATCCTCCAGGAAGAAGCCCAAGTGCTGGGTGACACCCTGAGGTCTGGGGTGGTGTCTGTCCGCTTTGGGGGAGGCTTCCCTGTGCCCCTGGGCTCTCCTCCCACCCAGTCCAGCAGGTTACCTAGCTCAGACTGGGGCAGCACCCCCCCCCCCCCCCCAATCTGTCCTCTTCAGCTGAGGCAGAGCCCTGAGCAGCACGCCTGGGGGACACAGCGGTGATCCCGGCCGCCCGTGCCCCCACCGCCCACCCGGACTGAGACTGGTGTCGGTGTCTTTACGGAAGGAATTTATTGTTCCGGAACTAAAGTTGCTCACAGTTATTGACAGGGGTACATGGGTGGGCTTGTTTGTTTCCGTGACGTCTGCGTGTGTCCCGAGTACAAAAGAGGAAGGCTGACGAAGAGATATTGCTTTCGGTGTCCTCTGCCTCTTGAGAAGCCCCCGCTTGTACCTGTGGCTCTGCTGTTACCGGGCGTTTAATAGTTCTTATGTGGGAGCCCCGCCTGTGGTGGGGCCAGGGTACAGAAGCGTTAAAATCTATCCTTGACCGAGGGCGGGCAGGCGGGTGGGCTGCGGGGAGACACCAGAAGCAAAGTGGACCCATCACAGCGAAGGCATGCAATCAGACCTGCCCTCCGGCTTCCGGCTGCCCGGCGCCCTCGACACCACAGTCAGGGTCTGTGCCACCGAGCTGGCCAACCCACAGGAAGAAACACAAGCATTAGCTGGGGATGGGCAAACGGAGCGGCTGCACCCGCACAGCAAACTCTGCAGAGGACGCCGCTGACTCTGTTCTTGGTTATGTGGTGTGTGTTTTTTATGGTTTTTTTTTTTTTTTTCACTTTTTGTCATTTTAGTAAAAAACTCTGTGGTGCCCCTGCCATCCTGTGAGTGGGTGGGGGCCAGCCCAGGGCCTTCCTCCTACCCTGCTCTGGACACAGAACCAAGAGGGTCCCCATCCTGGACCTGGTGGAGGGTCCCTGGGACTGGAGTTGCTTCTACCAGGACGGACAGAGCAGACAGAGTGGCCTGCGCCGTTCTTTAAATATATATATGTGTGTATATAGAAAGAACCAAGAGCAAGAACCGAACACAAAACCTAGCCCTGCCCAGCGGCTCCCCTCCCCAACACCCTTTTCCAAAAACAACCAAGAAAAAAAGTTTATAAAAATATCTTGCAGGAATTCTTTAAAGTTTACAGTAGCTTGCCGGCACTGCACCCACCGGCCTGCCCCCCAGGACCCCATCGACTGCGTCCTCAGGGCACCTGGGCCCAGACCCACCCTGCCCGAGACAGACAGACAGACAGACAGACGGCAGGAAGATGCTGCTGCTGCCCCTTCCCTGAACAGAGAAGTAAAGAAACTCAATAAGTTAAACGGCAAATAAATAATACTGATCTCGGCCAGCCTGCTGCCTCTGGGTCCAGTTCTCCCCGGGCCAGGACAGGAACGCGGGCCCAAGAGCACCTGCAGCGACGAGCCAGGAGGACTGGGAGCCAGCGAGCAGCAGCGTGGGTGCTGAGGTGCAGGCGGACCGGGGAGAGGGTGCTGCAGAGGGAAGAGGCCGAGGAGGGGCTGCAAGTGCCCTCTGCCCGCCTCTCGGACGCTCTGCCCACCACGGCCCCCGTGCTGGAGGCAGCCGGGGCGACAGGACCTGCCGAGGGCTCTAGTCACTGCAAGTCTGTGGGCGGGCTGGAGGCAGCCTCCCCTCGGAGCCAGGTCCTCCTCCCCGTGGCCATGCGGAGCAGACCCCGGGCAGGTGCCACGCGGGCAGGTGGACGGAGGCAGTGCGGTGGGCAGGCCTCGCCGCCGGGCTCGCCGCAGCAGCAGGAGAGGAGAGGCAGGTCCGCGGCAGCTGCCTTCAGCGGGCCGGTGTCCGGCGCAGAGCCCAGAGGACGGCCTCGTGGAGGTGACATGTTGACATGTTAACTTTTCGGGATAATTCCTGGTATCAGAGCGGAAACAGTGACGTTGTCAGAGACAGGCAGAGAGAGAAACAGCGAGAGAAAGAGAGCAGGCACGGTGGACCGGCCACAGACCCTGGCCCCCCGTGCTCCTATTCTTTCCTCCCCCGCTCCACAGCAGACTAGATGGGTAGGTGGGTGTGGCCCCGGGTCCACTCTGGGCGGGCAGGTGGCTCGGTAGCCTTGGTGGCCACTGTCAGGGCCGTGCTGGGGGCGGGGAGGGGCTATGTGTCTAAGGCTGCTCGTGGCGGGCGGCGGGTGGCCCCGTCTTGGCCGTATCCTTGCCCGTTGGGTACTCGGCATCCCCTCCAGGGCCAGGGCCAGCGGCCGCCGAGTCACCGAGTGGACTGTGGGCACTCCGCTTGGCGGGCATGCTGGGGGCCTGGGCCGCCTGCCCGTTCTTCTCGTCTGAAAAAAGTTGTTTAATTACGTCAAAGAAGTTACTCAATGGGCTGCCTGGGTACACAGAACAGAAAACAAAAGAAAAGAAAAAAAGAAAAAAAAAGGGGCGAGAAAGAAGAAGGGAGGGAAGGAGAGAGAAAGAGAACAAACAAACAAATGAACGAAAGGGCCTTGGCGAGAGAAAGAAAACCCAACGAGATGAGGTCTGAGATGGGCGTAGGGGGTGGGGACAGGTGACAGCAAGCAGGGTGGGCAGGCGGCCGGCCGGCGGGATACCCTCTGTGCTGGGGGCTCCCGGGAGGGGGTAAGGCTTTGGGGACTGAGCTGTGCCTCTTCACTGGGGGGCGGGACCCCAGGCAGGTGGAGACCCTCCTCCCTCACCGCCTGGCCTTGCAGGTGCAGCGCCTCCCTTGGCCTCAGCCAGACACGAGCTCAGACACCAGTCTCAGAGTCTCCCCTTGCCAGCCCTGGGCCCTTACCAGCTGGCCAGCCCACTCTGAACTCAAGCCACACAGACAGGGCTGCCACATCCCCAAGGGGCAGGACCCTGGGATGGGCGTCTGGCTCTTGGCAGGAGACCACAGGGTCTGCTCTGGGTGGGAGGCTGGAGCCAGCGTGCCTGCCATTCTCCTCCCCTGGCCAGCCCAGGCCACACAACGTGGACACAGCGGACAGACAGATGGAAGGATGGATGGACAGGCATGGAGAGCTTGGATGTGGGAGGGTGGGGGGCAGGCAGCCAGAGTGGGAATGTCCTGAGGTCAAGAGGAAGGGGTAGGAATGAAATGACCACCCTGACCTGGGGCCTGTGCTTCCGGTCCAGGTGCATTGATGGGCACCTTTGCTCCAGTTTCTAAACCTGAGCCCTACGAGGTCCCTCCTCTCCCTGCCAGGTACAGCGGGAGGGGACTGTCGTGTGGCCTGGATAGCTCACAGGTCCCAGCAGGAGGGGTCCCTAAACCTTCCAGTGGACAGAGGGCCTGGGCGGGCCTGCTCCAGACGGCAGTCCACCGCGATCCCTGGTCAGAGCCTGCCCACACGACCCTCACTGGTCCCTCCCTGGCCCACCCTGATCCTAGGCCAGGCCTGTGGCTGCTCTTGGGGGAGTGACAGGGTGTCCTGGCAGAGGCAGGAGGCTGGGCGAGTGGGGGCCTCCCTGAGTCCCGTGTGTGTCTGGGCCCCAAGCTACACACAGACCCCAGGACAGCCCCGGGTGGCGGGCGCAGCGCCTAGCCGGGAGCGGGTTGCAGGTGGCGTGATAGGCGGGAGGCCCAGGCGATGGGGGTTCTTACCACACTTGGAAAGCCTCCCCGTCATCATCTCCACACAGTTAGTGGTGTCTGGAGCACAGAACGGAGAGAGGGGGATGTGAACATGGTTCCCACCGGCCCCTCAGGGAAAGCACAGGCTCAGGGCAGGGAGTGGGGTCTGAGGAGTGGAGCCCAAAGGGGGTAGGTATGGAGTGGGCGGGCTCAGGGCGCAGGTATTAGGTGAGGGCCACCTGGGCAGTATAGGTCCTGCCACAACCAGAGCCTCTCCCGCTGTCCTGCCCTGGGTCCAGGACACGCTATGGTGCTGAGAAGCCAATGACTTTGGCCATGGTCTGCACTGGCCACCCACGTGTCCTCCTCCTGCAGGTCTGCAGTACCCTACTCTGACCCTCCCACCTGCTGCAGGGCCTGGGAGTGTTGGTGCTGGCAAAGCCCTCGCTGCAGGTGGGATGTGCCCTCGGGGCCTCCCCTCTGTAGGCCAGGCCCAGGGGCCCTGTCAGAGTGGCCACCAGAGGACTCGGCATGGTGGTTGAAGGTCCCATGGTGGCCCTGGGACTGAGCTTGCTGGACAAGAGCATCCAGTGTGGGAGGGAGGCCAGGGGATGGGGTCAGGTGGCTGAGGTACCAGGTTGGGCTCCCCAGGAAGAGAATTTGCTGAAGGAGGGCGAGGGAGATGGGTTGGGGCCCAGAGCTCATTGGTCCAGGTCAGCAAGGCCCCTGCTCTGGGATGGCTGCAGGCACAGATGCCCGCTGGGCAGGAGCATGACAGGCCCTGGTCTTGGCTCCCCTTCCCGGACAAGCTCTGTTCTTTCCCAGCCTCAGTTTCCCTGTCAGCACTGCACTGCTCCAGATGGAGACCTTAACGGCTCAGGAGCCGGAGGCACCTGGCGTGCCTGCTCCCCACCCGACAGCCAGGAAAGCGGGCCCACACCTGGGCTCGGCCAGGGCTCTGAGGGACATGGGAGGGAGAAGAGGAGGGCAGTGAAAAACAGACGATGGAATGAGGATGGCAGGGTGGGGTGGACGCTGGGCCGGCCTGTCCTTTAGGACTCCACAGAAAAGCACAGCAGGTCGGGGGCGGGCCCACTGAGGCCCCAGCTGGCCGTAGGGGGGTCAGAGAGGCAGATGAGGGCTGGACACTCTGCTCCTCAGGTCCCAAATGTCAGAACAAGCCTCACGACAACCCTGCATCTCACCACCATCCAGACACACACTGCACACCCTCACCAACAGACGGCGACTCACGCAAGGCTCACCCCCCATTCCGGTGCAGCCCACCCCCACCAGGCATGACCCTCGGGCCTGGGAGCCCTTCCCTGGATGCTTCTCTAGGCCCAGCTGGGGCGCCCTGGCTTTGACTGGGGCCTGAGGCCCCCTCTCCTGCTCAAGGCCAGACAGTCAGGTCTTCTCACGGGGGACAGACAGCAAGCAACCCCACCCCGTGTCCGGGCTCCAGGGCCCCAGCCCTCACAGGGCGCTGCTGCAGGGAATCCAGGCAGGGCTTTGGCCACCGCTCTCCCGGGGTCTGCTCTCCTGGGGGGTCCCGGGGCTAGCCTGCCCTGTGCCCTGAGACTCAGCCTGGGTCTGGGCCTGCACAGCTGGTCAGGGGCCGGGAGCTGGCCACTGGCCATGTGAGTGGGCACAGGGTGCCCTTCTCGGGGCCAGCCTGGCTCTTGCCAGGGGATGTGACTGCAGCCCCCTCCTTGCCCCAGCGGTAGGGCGGGACACCTTACCTGCCAGCGTCAGAGGCTACTCTCGTAGCTGGTGGCCACCTTCTGGCCTTTAAGCCCAGCACCCCAGCTTAGTCCTGGCGCTGGCGGGGAGGGTTCTACAGTGGACAAGAGGCGCCTTTCAGTGTGGTGTGCTGGGCCCTGCCTCCCTGGTGTGCAGACTGGGCTGGCCCACTGTGCTGGGAGGCCCTGCTCCCTGGGGGGCGGCGGAGGGCCACGCCCACTCGATGGCCACGGGGCGGCCGAGCTGAGCTGAGCGCCGCCTCACCTGACAAGTGCTGGGTGGAGGGCTGGTCGTGTGTGCTCAGCAGCTGCGTCTGAATGGTCTCCACGACCCTCTTGAAGCGGCGGCTCGGGCCTGGGGGAGACAGCGGGGTAAGCCTGGGCGGTGGCCGGAGCCCGTGCCCTGGGCCAGCAGCTCACCTGACAGAAGCGTGAACGTGACGGAGTAGATGCCGTTCTCCTTCTGGGCCGCCCCGCCCTCGCTGTAGGTGATGTCCACCTGGAACTTGACGGGCTTCTGGAACACCGCCGGGCCCCCGGTCGCCTTGTACTCGGCCCGGAAGCTGGTCTGGGAGATGACGCTGTGGCTGAGACTGGGAATCTGCAGAGTGGCAGTTCGATGTGAGCAGCGACCCGGCCTCCACCCTGAGCTCCTAAAAGGGGACCCACAGGCCAGCCCCTCCAGCCTCTCCCCGGGGAGGCCACCACCAGCAGGGCCCTCAGGGTGTGGCCACGAGAGCCAGAGCAGGACTGACGGAGACTCGGGCAGGGCTTTCTAAGGTGCGATGAGTAAACATGCACGTGGGAGGAGGCCCTCAGCAGCAGTGAGGATGGGGCCACGGCTGAAAACTCTATTGGCTCTGGGAACAGCTACCTGAGGCCAAGGCCAGGCCATCGCTGGCAACGGTGCCTGAGGCTCTGCACCCGGTCGACCCGCTCTGCGTATTTGGGTCGTGGGCAACGCAGGAAACTGGTCACAACAAACCCAGCGGGTCCCCCAGCACCCGAGGCCAGAAGGACCAGCCATCCTGGGGAGCATTAGAGGGCGGTGGCGGTGGCCGAGTCATGCCCATGGGGAGGAGGGACTCTTGGTGTTCCAGGAACAGCAGAAGGGGCTTGGGGGTCATGGGGGACAGAGGTCCAGACGTGGGCCCAAAGGAAGAGAGCAGGGTACAGGGGAGTCAAAGGGGCCAGTGTGCCTGTGTCCAGCGTGAGGCTGATCCCTGCCTGGTTCCGGGCTCTCCTGGCCCCTGAGCCTCTGTGAGGAGCACCCACTGTCCTCATAGCCCTAAGGGGACCTGGCGGCAGCCTGTGACAGGGGCGCTGAGGCTGGGCTCAGAGAAACCCCTGGCAATCTCTGCCCACCTGGTGGCGGGGCTTGAGCTGGAGCTGCAGTGGCTAAACCCTCCTCCCCTCTGGTGATCCTGGGCTCCCCCTTAACTGTGATCCTGGGGGACCCAGCACAAGGCAGGCCCCACATAGGCGGGTGGGACCCCCTGGCGTGAATCTGGAAAACCCCCAGGGCTTTCTGCTCCCTGCGCCTGGTGATCCAGCAAAGACAAGGGACCCCACAGGAGACCCAGTGCGGCTGCCTCAGCACCGTAGGCCTCAGTGGGAGGCAGGGGCTGCAGGAGGCCGGCAGCCTGTGGGGAGGCAGAGGGCACTCAGGAAAACAGCCCCCTGGGGACTGTTCCCCAGGCCTGGGCACATCCCGTGGGTCTGGCAGAGGTCCCTCTGCTGAGGCTGCCTGAGCTTCAGCCCTCAGGGTGTATCCCTGCCCCAGTGCCACCCTCTGTCACAGCCCGCCTGGGACCTGTTCACAGCGTGGCTTGCTTTGTCAGTCCCTCAACCCGCCAGCCACACATGCCCCTCCTGGCCCACACCTGCTCCTCCAGGGTCCCTTTCCCCGCCCCGCTGGGGCAGGCGGAGACAGTGTCTGTCTGGCCAGTGAAGGGGCCCTCTGGGGCGGGACAAGACTCACCGACAGGAAGGCATGAACGATGTCGGCTTTGATGGAGCTCAGGGGCTTGTCCTTGATGACCAGGAAGATCTGCTCCTCCTTCTCGAGGCTGATGAAGTTCCCGAACCAGGACTTCTTGGCCAGCCTGCGGGGTGGGGCGAGGGGCTGCTCACACCTCAGGGACAGGTCTGCCCTGCCTGACCCCACATTCCTGACCTCCTGACTGCCTCCTGAGCTCTGATTCCTCCCACCCTGGACCCTGAGCCCCTTATCACCATGATATCACCATCCTAACCTCCACCCATGCCTGACTCCATACCCTACGGCTGATCCCACAGCCCTGGGCCCAGCGCCCCATCCTCCTCCTCGTCTGGGCCCAGCAGCACGCACTGGAACCCAACCCGGAGAACCCATGCTGACCCAGCCGGGTCCGTGTGGTCTGGCACCATGACCCTGGGGTGACTTGCTGTGTGGCATCCCACAGCCTCCTTGAGGAAAATGGGCCCCTTGCAGGGAGGGCTGTGAGGGGAGCAGGAGCATGCGGGAGCTGGGGTGGGATTGGGGCAGGCCAGGCACCCTCGCTTTGCTGTAAATGGCAGAGACATGGCGCAGAGGCCACTCCAGGCCACCCTCTGTCTCTGCCCTCAGGGACTGGTGGCCCTCCCTGCTGCTCCAGCCCAGTCCCATGGAGTGGCCTCTGTGCGGCCCTCCCTAGGGTGTGCGTGGGCTGGTGACCAGCTTCTGACAGAAGGATGTGGGAAAGTGGAAGTCATCTCCAAAACCAGGCCACAAAGTCTGACTCCCCTCTCACCATTTTGTTGAAGCGGACCAACTGGTGAGAGGCCCGTGGAGACCTGAATCCTGCCCACAGCAGCTCCTGCACCTGTGCAGCCACGAGGGGCCACAGCCTGTCATCCCTAAAGCTAAGCACCCAGCTGGGCGTGATGGGGTCCTGACCACCGAGAGGACAAGCACGCACCGCTCACAGTGTATGTGTTGGACTTGTCTGTCATGCAGCCATGGCTGACTGGCGTACCCCGGCCGGCTTCTTGCTGCCTCCCTTGCAGCTACAGTGTAGACACATGGCCACTCTACCCGTCCAGGGTGAGCAGCAGCAGCCAGGCCGCGGCTTCCCCATGGCATTAGCAGGGCACTCCAAGGCACTCTACACTGGCCTGGGCATGGCCAACAGTTTTCCTGGTTGTGTGACATCTTCCCTTTCCTGCCCATTTCCAGAGCCACTCTTCAGCTGCAGCGACAATGACCAACCCACCTGCCAACGGAGTCCCTGTCCTCCCCCATCAGCCCGGCTCAGGAATCCCACAGAAGACGTGAAGAGAACACTGAGGACCCCACGCCCTCATTCAGCCACCTCAGCTCCTTGGCTGGCTGTGGCAGTGAGCGAGTGCGGGCTGCTGGCCCGAGCTGCAGAACGTGGCACCCAGGTCTACGCCGGGCCTGGAGCCCACAGCTCATGCCTTCTTCTCGATGAAGGCAGAAGAGTTACAGTGAAAACTGGCTTTTTATACTTTGACACCAAGTGTTTGGCATCTGGCAAAAACAGTCCCGGATCTGCAAGAAGCCTGGCTGACCGGGGAAGGCTGGTGGAACGTGTGTGGGGACAGGCCTGTAATGGTAGGTCAAGGTGTCCACTTGGCCTGTCTGGTCCAACTTTGGGTGTTGCTTCTTAAAAGACACCTCACTAACGTGGTAGTTGGTACCAGCGAGGTCCTGCAGGCCAGCCTGTGACATCACCCAAGCTCGATCTCCCGCCTGCTGACCCGTCTCAGGCCCGCCAGCATTCATGTGCATACCCACCCGCACCCTCCTGGTTTCCTGGGGGACCCTGACTGCAGGGCTCCTAGAAGCTGCAGGTGGAATGTCCTGGACCAGGAGCATGTCTTGTGCAGGAGGCGCTGGGGGTTTTACTGCACCCCACTTCCAGGGACATCTGCACCTGCTCATTCCTACCAGGCTTTGGTGCAGAGACAGGCCCCACGGGCCTCAATGGAATGGAGGGGCACAGGCCATCGGCTACAGCACGTGACAGTGTGTGATTTTGTAAATTCCCTGAAAATCCAGAAGTTACACTGCAAGTACGTTTGGGAAGACTGTTCAGGGCAGCAGAGACTGGCAACTGAAGGGATGTGACCAGTGGGACTGCAGAGCCCCCTAACCCAGCAGCTCAGGGCTCGCACCTGCACTCACATGCACGACGACAACTTCTCTCCCTCAAACAGCTGGCCCTGCTGCCTTCACTGCCAGTGCAGCCCCTGTGCCTTGCCCTGTGTCTACACCGCATTTCCTGTTCACACCACCACCCGCGGACTAGGGAGCCAAGGCCTCAGGGAGGGCAGGCACTCAGGCAAGTCTTTCTAGGACCTTGGCTAGAGACCCTGAGTGTGGGGCATCTCCGTATGCAGACCTTCTGCAGGGGGTGTGTGGCTGTTTCCCCATTGCTCCCACAGCTCCTGCATCTTCTCTCGTGTGACAATGATCCCAGGGTTGTTCTGCACCTGGCCTTGGCCAAGGCCACCTCCTACGCATGTTCCTGCAGGCTGTTGCTGGCTGTCCCTCCTTGGCCTGTACCGTGACTTCACCTTGAGATCCTCCATCCTTACAACCCGACACGTCTGGCCACCTTCTGGGCTCTGCTCTGCCCAGCACCCCACCCCGGTGGACACTCCAGTAGCAAGCACCCCAGACCAGTCCTGAAGGCCTCCCCACAATCAGGACATCCAGGGCAGATGCTGTGTCTGAAATGTGAGCAAGCCGGGCCCTTGTGGCTCCCTCGTGTGGAGGTCAGAGCTCAGCAAGTGTGCAGCGGTCCCTCCGAGGAGTGGCTATGCCGCACTGCCTCCAGCCAGCATAGGCTGTGACTCAAGCAGAACTGAACTGTCCCCTACCGGCTCCCCTACCATCCTAGGCCCTGCTCCCCGCCTGGTGGTCAAAGTGCAGGAGGCTCCGAGATGCACACGCTGGAGAGGAGGTGGCTGAGGCAGGAGGTGGAGGAGACCAGCGGCAGCAGGGGCCGCAGGGAGAAGGATCTGTGGGCTGGGATGCTCAGCCGGAAGCCCTTGTGGATTCTGTGGCCTGTTACGTGGGAGGGTACCCGGGGCTCCCTCGTGCTCTTGGCACCCAGCACCCACCTGCTCACGCAGGGCCACTTACTCTGGGGAGGACTCCGGGGTCAGGTTGGACATCTCCTCTGGCGTCGGGACTGTGTACACAGGAAGGACAGAGAGAGAAGGTGCGGTGACCACTATGCCTTCCCACAGGCCCCCTCATACTGTTTATGGGCACCTTCCTGGTGGGGGTCTTGGGAACCTTGGGCCATTGGGAGCTGAAACCAGGCTAGGCCTGCTCTGGCCTTCAGCCACTCCTGCTGTCCCTCCAGGTGTTGGGTGTGCTGGCTGGGCTCTCCTTGGGTGTGTGCACAGGGCCCCATGCCTCACCCCTTGGCTGTGCAGTGGGGCTGGTGAGCCCAGATAGGCAGGCAGTGCCAAGCACAGGCTTACCTCCATTATCCTGTGGGCTTCCTGACCATCATGTCCACACCCACCCAGTGGCCACCTCTCCTCCCTGGGCCTCCGGCAGCCCGTACTGAGGAGGCCACTGGACTAAGGAGAAGCAAGGGTTCCAGGAGGGCTCCCAAGGCTGTGCCCACTGGGTGCCAAGTCTGTACTGTGTGGGCCCGGGCACAGGTTGAGCAGGCTGGTAAATAGTGGAAATCTGTGATGCCTAGGCCCGTTTCAGTCTAGCAGACCCGGGCATGATCCAGGGGACCCCTGCCTGGCTCCACTTGCCTTGCTGGCCAGGATGGGCGGTGCTCCCAGGCCCCGCCCACCACCTGTGCCTGCCTCCCTGAGCTCACCCTGCAGTTTCCGGCGGTGGAAGCGAGGTGAGCCTAGGAAGCTGTTCTTGATGGAGTTGAGCCTTGTCCTCCAGGGCACCCCTCCGACGCTGGGGCTGGACGGCGGTGTGGGGTTGGGTGTGCCGGCCGGGCTTTCCTTGGGCGTGTGCACCGGCGTCCCCTTGGGGGTAGGGAGGGGACTGCCCCTTGGAGAGGGGTGAGGGGTCACCTGTATGGTGGGGACAGATTTAGTGTTCGGTTCAGTCCCAGTGAGCGGAAGCCGGGCGGGGGCAGGCAGAGGGGCCAGCCCCAGGGGTGGGGCCAGCTGGGGGCCAAGGCCGCTGGGGACAGGGTGCCGGGCCTGGGTGCTGGCTGGGAACGGGTTGGACTTGGTGCCCTGCAGAGGCTTGTCGGTCAGCTTGGCCTTGCTCGGCAAGGTCTGGGTCTTGGGGTTGGGCCGCGGGGCGGCCTGTGGAGGGAGGATGTGTCCGGGCCGAGAGATGCTCTGACAGACTTCAGGTTCCATGGAGGTGGCCAGGGTGCAGGCCACGAAGGGGAGTTCAGGGGGAGGGGGGGGCAGGACAAATTTCCTAACAGGCTACAGGGCGGGCACCGAGGCAGGGAGTGGAGTGCGGGTCCGCCATGCAGGAGTCAACATGCATCCGCGCCCCCACCCACATGCACACACAGCCCCAGGAAGACCCACGGGTGCAGGCATGTGGGGGCAGAGCATTTGCCACCAAAGAAAACAAGTAACACACAAGGAAACACACAAAACAAAACAAAAAAACGTGCAGTTAGCAAGAGCAGCCAGAGCCGCCGAACAGCAGCACCACGCGTGGCCCCCGGCGGCGGGAATGCGAGGGCCTCTTCCAGGGCCGCCCGGCCCTCCCGCGCCTTCGGGGTGGGAGCCTGAGCGGAGGGGCGTCACTCACCCGGGGGCTGCTGAGCGGGCTGGTGGAGAGGCCTGAGGAGGCGCCGCTGATGGACCGGGACCTGCGGACACAGGTGCAGAGCGGGGCTCAGCTGAGACGGCCACAGGCAGCCTGGGTGCCCAGGACAGTCCTGCTGTCCCCACCCGCCTGTCCTCAGGAGAGATCCTGCAGCCTCTTTGGGACCCCGTCGGAGCCCCATGGTGCAGCCTTGGAGTCCTCTGCCAGTGTCCGTGGGGGCTCAGGTGGGCAAAGGGAGCAGGAAGGTTGCAGATTCCTGGAAACTGAACCAGCCCGTGCCAGGCCCCTCTCCACACTCCAGTTGCCAGGAATCACCGGACCCCCAAGGCTGTGCTGCCCAGGGCCAACAGCTGGGCATTAGCCAGCCCCTTGGTACCCACAACCCACCTGCCCGGTCCAGAGCTGCCCACAGCAGGCCAGCCCTTGGCCCTCTCCTCACTTGCACGCCCAGGGCCTGGGCAAGACGAGGCTGGGAGGACACTGATCTTTTCCACCGCAGGCCGCACGGGCCCGCAGGCCTGGCCTGGGCATGGCTGGAGAGACGGTGTCCCAGGGCACACAGCTGTGCCCACTTGGGGCAGACACGGCCTGCAGGGACTTACCACACCTGCGGCCCTCAGGGAACGGAATGGGACTGGGGCTGATGCAGCCCTAGGAGCGGACAGGGAATGGTGGGCTGCCCTGCCGCCTGCCCACCTGGCCAGCATGGCCTGGAGAGGGGTCTCGCCTGCCACACCTTGGCCTGGCCCCTGGGCCTGGGGTTGGGGCGGGAATGGAGCCCATGCTGGCCAGACCTTGGCTCCTGGCCACTCCACCAGCACCTGTGAGCTAGGGCCCATGGCCGTGACCGTCCTCCCGCACCTGACCCAGGCATGGAGCTGGGAGCTCCAGTCCCCCAGCCACAGCTTTCTGATGCCGAGTCCCAGTTGGTGCCCCCCAGCAGCCACACTGAGGCCCAGCGCCTGGGGCCTCCCATGAGCTAGTGCAAGCTTGTCGCTTGGCACAAGGAAGCTGAGAGCAGCAAGGGGAGGAAGGGGTGGGAGCCATCCACACGCCCTCCTGCCCAGCCAGGCAGCTTCTGGAGACTGAGCCATGGCTGCCTACACAGGGCAGCGTGACCATGGGGGGCCACAGGGCAGGCCAACCATGCTGCCCTCAGGCAGTGGGCCCTGCAGGTGCAGGGGAGGGGGCTCACCAAGGCCAGGTGTGACCAGCACACCTCCTGCCACCAACTTGGGAGGCTGCAATGGGCTCAGAATGGCCGAGCCGCCTCTGGTTGCCACTTCCACTCAGGCCCTAGTGGGCAGCATGGTGGCCCCAGGGGACAGCACTGGCCAAGGGGAGGTTAACCAGGACCACCGGCCACATCAAGGTGCGCCAGATGGGGCCTCACACCTGCAACCCCTCGGGCCGAGGGCAGGGAGAGCACAGTGGGTCTCCCAGCCCCTCTTGGGCTGGCTGTTGGCCTTGCCCAGTAGCCCACTCCTCCTGGGCCTCAGCCTGGCCTGACCCAGCCTTTCCCCCGGCTTCTGGAAGGTTCCCTTGCCAAAGGGGAGCAGGCCAGAGCCTCAGGCCCAGCCCTGCCACCAGGCCCGAGTCGCCTGGGGGGCTGGGGGCGGGGCGGGTGGGCAGGGTGTATACCTGTCTTCTTTGCTGAATTGGGGGTGGGCTTCAGCGATATCCAGGCTTTTACTGAACATTGCTTTACTACAGCGGGAACAAAGCGAGAAAACAGAGTTACTGCCACAGCGCCGCCAGACGGCCTGGAGGCCAGGCCACACAGCTCCTAGCTGTGCGCAGGGCACACGGTCGCCAGGGGACACAAGCGGAGAGCTCCAGGGCACAGCACCCCCTGGTGACCTGCAGGGTACTCAGCATCAGCCCCAGCAGGAGGCCCGCTGTCACTCAGCACCCTATGGCCAGAGGAGGCAGCCCAGGAGCTGGGCTGGGAAGTGCTGGGAGGAAGGGGCTGTCAGGTGACCCTCAGGCTGGGTCACACCAACCCCACCCTAGCACCCAGCACCCGTGGCAGCCAGGCCTGGGAAGCAGAGTAGAAGCCACGGCGAGATGGCCTCCCACGCCTAACCCCTAGCCCAGGCCCAGGCAGGTGGGGTGGGTGGGTGTGAGGAGGCTGGGGAGGGCCAGGTCAGCACTCAGCCAGTCCCGCGGGGTTCCAGCCAGAAGCCAAGGGCCGAGCTTGGGGAGCTGGGCTGGGCAGAGGTGTGCCCACAACAAGCAGGGCAGGAGTGGCACTGGGCAGAAGTGTGGCCAGCAGGGGACCTCCCCTTGCCCGACCCCGGTGCCAGAGTCTGTGGGCGGTGGGCCACAGCTGTCTGGAGACCTGGATAGAGGCTCCAGAGGGCCGGGACCCTAGGCCAGAGGCTGAGCCAGCCTGGTTTCCTGGGCAGGACCCAGGACCACTAGCGGGCTGTGGGCCATCAGCCCAGTTGAATCGTGATGGTGGCCCGGCTGCCCTGTGGTTCCCCTGTTTGATGGTAAATTCCTTGGAGGGTTGGCCAGCTCGAGCACCCAGCTGACCAGAGAGAGCTGGGGCTGTTTGGACACCCACGCTGCCCCCCCGGGGGTAAGGGCAGACAGCTGAAGCCCCATTCAACTTCAGCCTAACAGCGCCAGGTGAGTGCTGGCCAAGGGCCGCACAGCTGAGGCTGTGGGCCTGGCGTCTGCTCCCTCCGGGGATCCGCTGGGACAGTCCAGACCTGCCCCCCATCCCCCTGAATTCCCTTTCCATGCCCCTCGCACAGCCATAGAGGACCCAACACGGGACCAGCGGTTAAGTGGGGACAGGCTGTTGGCCCTGAACATAGCTGGACCACGATCCAGTCTGTTCCACCTCAGTTCAGCCCAATCCAGCTCAGCCCAGTCCAGTCCAGTCTAGCCCAGGATGGCCCAACAGCCCAGGCCAACAAAGCAAAGCCCTGCCCAGCTCAGCCCGTGCAGCCCAGCGCAGCCGGCCCCGCCCCAGGGCCAGGGCGCAGAGTGAGGCCAGCGCAGCTCAGGAGGGGTGCCTTCCCTGACCAGGCCAGGGCACAAGCAGGTAGGGCACTGGGTCTCCTCAGAAGGCACGTACCTCTGGCTGTGCTGGGCCATCTCAATGGCGCGCCGAGCAGGCACCGGAGAGCCGCCGTCTGTCACGCTGAGCACCTCCATGGACTTGCGTTCAGGCCGCCGCTTGCCGTGCCGGTTCAGCATTGGGGAGTCCACGCGCTTCCGGGGAGGGTCTGTGTGCAGACAGGGGTCAGGCCGGGCGGCCTGCGGCATCTGGCAGGGCTGGTGTGGGGGCCAGGCTTCCCTGGGACCTTGTACCTATTTCGTTCCTGGGGGGCAGGTCCTCATCCTCGTGGCTGGGGTACCTTTCTTTCCGGTCCAGGAGGAGGAAATAGATCATCTTCTCCTGGTTCTCCCTGTTGGGGGGTAAAGGGGGGGCCGAGAAGGGTCAGCAAGCCCGGTGTCCGCTGCTGGACAGTAGCCTGGGGCCACAGCATTCCCTCCCACGCCCACCATCCCCGCTGCCGCCTGCAGGGCCCCACGTGGGACGTACTCCTCAGACAGCAGGTCCTGCAGCAGCTTGTTGCGGTCTCGGAAGCAGCCCAGCGAGTGCATGCTGTCCAGCACATCGGGGTCAATGTCCTCCAGGCTGGGCAGCGAGCGGATCTGCACCTTTCGGGGGATGGGCTGCTCTGGCTCAGGCTCGTTCTTGCCCCCTCTGTGGACGACAGGGCACCGCCAGGGGTTACTGATCTCGGCAGGCCTAAGGCTCCTTCCCCCCAGCCCTTCCTGGGGACCCTGAGTCCTGCTCTCGCCCTGTCCCAGCCCCTGCACACCTCCTGCTCGCTGCTGTGCCCAGCGCAGGCATGCCGGGAGTCCCTGAGCGCTGGGCTGAGGCTGGGGCCGGCCTGCGCTGGGCTGGGTCCTCCCCCCCGCCTTCCCTAGCAGGCCCTCCGGCTGCAGCGACAGGCAAAGCAGGCGATGAGTGGGAGGAAAAGCTACTTACATATACCATATGTGTTTCTGAATGTGCTCTAGCTACAAGAGAGAGAAACAGGAAGTTAGTATGGAGGGAGCAGGGAGCCCACGTTAGGAGGCCAGAGGGAGCAGGAGCTGGGAGCACCTGGGGGGCCTGGGAGGACCACCGTGGAGGAAGACAGCCAGCAGGAAGAGGGGAGGGAGTGGAGGAGGAGGGTGATGGGGAGAGGGTATGGGGAAGTAGAAGGAGGGGGAAGGATGAAGGGACGGCAGGGTGAGGACGTGGAGGGAAGGTGGGGGGAGGAGAGGGGAGAGGGTGGGGATGGAGGGAAATGGGGAGGGGCTGCGTTCCCAGAGGCTCCAGACTAGCCCCCTGACCTGCCTCCCCAGTGGGAGAGGAAATGCCAGTCTAGGGAAAGGATGGTGGGGGCTGCAGGGATGGGGAGGAGGCAGGGACCCCTGGTGGCTCAGAGAAGGAGGCCTGAGGGAGGAGAGCAGAAGGCAGCCAGGGTGGCCCACGTGCGGGGAGGGGCTGGGGTGCAGGGGAGAGCAGGGGGCTCAGAGACCCGCTCTCCAAGAGCCTCTCCACCAGCTGGGGACAGCTGGATCGGGGCGGTTGGGAGATGGCCTCTTGGTCACCAGGCCACCCCTGTCCCGGAAAGACCAGTCCAGGGGAGTCCTGCTGCCTTGCCCTGGGGACCTAACATCCTGGTACAGCTAAGCCCTGGCTGCCTACGGGCTTCTCCCAGAAGCGGGACTTCCTCAGAACACCCCCCCCATGGTCAGTGTCATGGTGAGCTGAGTCCACTGCCAGGCTGGCCTGGAGGCTGAGGGGCAGTGCTAGAGTTGGTGAATGCTGGTCTCCCAGGCATACCTGCTGGACACAGCCAGCAGGAGGCCCCTGTGCACATACCCACATGTCCATGCACACATCCACACCTGGGCACATGCTTACACATGTGACCACTACCTGTGCCTCTGTGCACATGAACGCATGTGCGCACACCTGTTAAATAGTTATGCACTCATGCAAGGGCACACACCCCTATGAACGGTTCTCATGTGCATGAGTGCACATACCTGTGTACACATGTATGTGCACACTGCTGTGCGCACACAGGCACTCACACTTAGAAAACGTGCAAACAACTGCATGCACTCTCACACATGCACATTCATAACTGTGTACACACACACATGCACACACAAAGCTGTGCTTTCACACACATCCAGGGCTCCCTGCAGGCACGGGTCTTCCTTTCCAGGGCGGTGGCGTGGAGATGGGACCTCTACCCCTGGGGGCCCTTGAGCCTGGGCTGGGAGTGTAGGCCCGCACCCTCTGGCCCGCCCTGCGCCCGCACGCACCGTCAGGCGCCGCGCCGCGTCCACCTCGATCATGCCGCGCAGCAGGCTCTGGCAGTCGGGCGGGATGAAGTGCGGCATGTGGAACACTCCCCGCTTCACCTTCTCCAGCAGCTGCCGCAGGTTGTCGTCGTCGAAGGGCAGCGCCCCCTGCCGGCCGGGGACGGGGTCACCGCGGGGCGGGGGACTGGGCGGAGGGGCGGCAGAGGCGGCACAGAGACGGACGGGCGAGGGGCGGGCGGGGAGAGGCGGACGGGAGGGCGGAGCAGGGTGCGGGCGCGGCGGGCTCACCACCAGCAGCGCGAACAGGATCACCCCGCAGCTCCACACGTCCGCCTTGCGCCCGTCGTACTTTTCTCCCTGCGGGGGGCGCTGTGGTTGGCTCCGTGGAGAGAGAGGGGGCCCAGGTGGAGGGTCCGGGGTCCGCGAGGGCGGGGGGAGGTCCCTTGGGCGGGGGGGGGGGGTGACTACTTACCCGGATCACCTCGGGGCAGGCATAGTGGGGGGACCTGAAGGCAAAAGCAGCAGTCAGGGCGCAGGCTGCCCCGGGACCGCAGCAGGTGGGCGACCCCCCGCACACACCGCCCAGAGGAGGCCCCACCAGGAGCCTGAAGGGCTTTGCTGCCACCCCACCCCTTACTCAGGGGGGAGCCCCGCCTAGGAGTCTAGGGGCTCTGCCTAGACGGTCTGGCCCACGAAGGCAGCATCAGAGGAAGGACCGCCACGGACTGGGGTCCCAACCCTGCACCACCGCTGCGAGCGCCGAGCAGGAGCTGGCGCACCAGGGCCCGCCGGCCTTCCAGGGCCCGCCGCACCTCGGAGCCACCGCCAGGAGCAGAACCCGGGTCCTGCCTGCAGCCGCGGCTGTGAGGTGCTGGACGAGCTCGGGCTTGGGCCCTCGGAGACCACTCACTCCGGCCTCCATGGGGCCGCAGCACTGAGCCGCCCGCCGGCCTTGCAGCACTGGCGGTGGCCGGGAGAGGGCGCGGGTGCCCGGGTGGCGGGTGGCCGGGGGCGCCCACTCACCCGCAGCTGGTCTCCAGGAGGCTGTCCCCCACCTGCAGGGACGCCATGCCGAAGTCCGCGATCCGGATGTTGTTCTTCTCGTCCAGCAGGAGATTTTCTGGTTTCAGATCCCTGTGGCTGGAAGGGAGGCGGCGGAGGCTGACCTGGGTCCCTCCCCCAAGCTCCACCCACACGGCGCCCGGCCAATGGCAGCGCGGCCTGGTGATGTCACAGGCAGCCAATCGGAAGCCGCCTGCCTGGCGGCTGGCTGCAGGTCTGGGACGGAGGGCCTGGGTCTCGGGTCGCACCGCGTGCTCCCTTCGCTCCTGAGCGGGAGTCCCTCTCCCTCCCGGCTCCCCGCACCCCTGCTCTGGGGCAACAGAGGGGCGTCAGCAGGGGCGGGACCCCTAGGGGCGGGTCACGTGGGGGCGGCTCGCACCAGATGGAGTGGCTGTGGCAGAAATCCAGCGCTGAGATGATCTGCCGGAAAAACTTGCGGGCCTCTTTGGGGGTCAGCCTCCCCTTTTTGACCAGGTAGTCAAAGAGCTCCCCACCAGACACATGTTCTAGCACCAGGTATCTGCGGGGACGGGCGGGCTTCAGGTGGGTGCTCACGCTGCTGGCCCACTCGGGATGAGGACCCCCTTCCCACCTCCCCCCACGCCGGGCAAGCCCGCCTCCAGGGGCCCCCCGCTGCGGGACCATTGGGCCCCAGGATTAGTGGGGCACTATGGCTGCTGACGACCCTCAAGGAGCCGGGGAGTGGCCCTCCCAGGCCCTGCCCAGCCCAGGTTGGCCCCCCCCAGCAGGGGGCAAATCAGACAAGGACCCTCAGGGAGCCGCGGCCAGCAGGTGGGAAAGGGGCTGGGGGACGAAAAGGGTCAGGAGGCAGAGGGCAGAAAGACACGGGTGGTGGCGGGGAGACCCCCGCCCTCGGAAGGTGACAAAGGAGAAGCCTCTGGGGAAAGGAGCCCCTGGTGGAGCCTGTGGGGCTGGTTTTAGGGCTGGGGGTCCTGGGACTCGTGGGCACTGAAGCCTGTGGGGCCTCAGAGGAGCTTGGACCGGGCTGTGCAGACTCCCCTAGGACTTGCTAGTGGGCAGCAGTGGCGTGAGGGAGGGAGAGGGACGGAGGAGAGGACGGAGCAGGGGCAGAGGAGTGTGTGGGCCACGGGGACCAGCTGTCTCCAGAGCTGGTCTTGCAGGATTCAAGGAGTCAGTGTGTGAGGGGCACCCTCAGGGCATAAGGAGTCTGTCTGTGGAGAGGAGAAGGGGAGGGGCTGGAGGCACGCCAGGGGGCACTGGGTGGCACCCACGTGGGAGCGGGAAAGCCAAAGCACAGCCCAGGCTGGAGGTGCCCCGCAGGTGACCCCACTTGCTACTGCGCCTCTAGGCTCCCTGTGCTGTCTGGGGACTTATGACCCACTGGGAGGGGGCTGGCCCCTGCACGACCTGGACTGCCCACTGTCCACCTTCATCATAGGCATCCTGCTCCCGTCACCAGGCCTGAGCTGTCCTCCTAGGCCCTTCCCTGCTTCCTGCCCCTCCCCCAGGTGGCCTCCTCAGAGCCGAGTGCTCTGCCCCTCGCCCTCCTGTGTCCGTCCTCAGAAATACCTCCCCAGAAACAGGGAGGTGACCGGGGTCCTGCACGTTGTGCGTAGAGGTGGCCCAGGTCTGCCCCGGCTCCTGCCTGCCCCCCAAACTCATGGGACATCACCAAGATACTGCAAGACAAGCGCCATCAAGCCAGTGGGTGTGTCCCCTGTGGGTGCCCTTGTCACGGTTCCTGCCTGCGGCTCACCAGTGTCGGGCCCCAGCACCACCACCAGCCCCCTAAGGCATGTGGGGAGTGTCCCTGCTCCTCACGGCGCCCACATGGGGCAGCTCCGCCATCCATCCTGCTGAACACTGAAGCTGGGCCGTTCCTGCCAATGTTGAGACCCAGATGGCCCCTTCCCCTTGATACCCCCCTTCCCCACCCCCCCACCCACGCCTCCAGGAAGCGCTGTCCCCGACGGTGGCTCAGGTGGTGGCTCTGTGAGTCCCAGTGTTTGGTCAAGGAGCAGTGATGTTCCTGAGGCCGCCCTGCCGGGCCCCACTGCCCGTCTACCCCCCCTCGGCCCCTCGGCCTTCACTCTGGCCACCCCAACTCTCCAGACCCAGCAATACCTACAAATATTTTTTGTTTTCATAGACGTCGTGCAGCTTGAGGACGTGGGGGTGTTCGATGAGCTTCAGGATAGCGATCTCCCGCTCCACCTGCGGAGGGGGAGAGCATCACGCGGGCTCCGCCCCTGGAGGCCCTGCGTCCATCCAACGCCCAAAACGTGCCTGCCTGTGGCGGGGAGGGCCTGTGGGGCATGGGCCCTGGCCTCACCCTCCCCAGGAGCCTCGGCTGCTGGGAGCAGAGGGGAGGTGTGGGCCCAGCCCCTTGGGGACGGCTGAGGGCTCTTGGGTGCAGCTGGGGCTTTGGGGCAGGGCCAGTCTAGCCCGGGACCTCCCCGCTGTCACACACAGCCCCACGGGGTTAGGGCCGCCTCGGGCCCCTTGCCCAGCTGCATGTGGTCCCTGCCAGCCTTCAGGGGGATGGGCCCCAGTTGTAGCCCCATTCCTTCCCCCAGCTGCTGTCTCTCCTCTTGGACATCTCAGAGTCCTAGCCAGAGTCCAGGACCTCAGCCAAGTGCTACCCAAGGCAGGGTCAGCGTCCACCTGTCCTCCCCCGCCCCCTGCACTGCCCCATCCATCCAAGCAGCTGCCACTTCCCTGAAAATCACCCACCTCGGGTCCTCGGGGTTCCCCAGGCAAACCCACCCAAGTCCCTCTCCACCCTCAGCAGCCAGAGGGGTCCCCGCTGATGTCCCTGGCCCTCACCACCTAAGCAGAGTGCGGTCCTCACACCTGGCTCAGTCCCCTGCAGCGGAGCCCTCGGCTGGCCTCCCACCCCACCGCCCTGCCTGCCCCACTCGGCTCACCTTCATCAACACGGACTCACTGAGCTTCTCCCGATTGACGATTTTGATGGCCACCTTCTGGCACGTGACACAGTGAATCCCCAGCTTCACAAGGCCTGTGGGGAGAGGAGCCTGTCAGACCTGCCCAGCGCCTGGAGGACCCACAGCCGTGCCTAACTCCGGAGCGGTCCGGCCGGAGGGCTCGGCCAGGAGGGATGCCACTCACAGCCCCTCACTCCAAACCTGGCCTCTGCCCGACCCTGCCCTTCAGTGTGCCTCGAGCTGGACTCCTGTGGCCACTGTCTGCCCACCCACACTCCCTGGTCACAGCCCAGGACAGCTCTGCCCCACCCACACCCCACTCCCATGTGGGTGACGCTGAGCCCTGCCCCCAGGCCTTCAGCTGCCTACATGCCCCCAGCAGGGGAGCTTGGGTGCCCTAAGGCCCAGGAGGGCACGTCCCCCAGCACACTCAGCCCCTGCCACCTCCTCAGCCTGGACAGAGGCACCGAGGCAGCCGGCCAGGCCCACGGCCATGCAGGGCAGCACACCTCAGCCTGCCTCGCACCGTCTGCCCCGGAGCCCCCACTGGGGGGAACTCCGATAACTGCCCTCCTGGCCACACTTCAAGGACCCTGGTCCCCTTGTCCTTGTGGGCAGAGCGGGGTGCCTGCCTCTCCAGCCCCTCCCAGCAGCACCCAGCCCCCTGCCAGCTGCCCCCTGCTGGACTGCTCTGTGGCCTCGGGCCCCAGACACCCCGCACTCCCCTTCCTGATCTGGGGGGCCTGTTAGCCACGGCACCACAGCCTGACCGGGACTGAGGCTGTGTTAAGGGATGCAGACCACGCCAGGACTGCCCGCTGTGGATGCTGAGGGACACCACACTGTCATTCACTTCAGGCCCCTCCTCCCTGTCATCTCACCCGGACCCCTCAGGTCCCGGATGCTTGGGTTTGTCTCCGCCCCTTTTCACACGGGGAAGGAGCGGTTTGTTACCAACTCGGGAGCCCTTTGCGGTATGTCCCGCACCCACGCCTCCTCCCAGCCTCCTGCAGAGGCGCCTCCTCTGGCTGCCGCTGCCTTGCTGTGCCAGGAGCAGAACGTGAACAACGGCATGTCCCCCGACAGTGCACGTTAGTAACGGCCGGTCAGCAGCTCCGGGACGGACGTGGACATTGTGACGCCACCGAGGCGGACAGAGCAGGACCGGAGGACGCTGGTTCGCGCCCAGCCTGTGCAGGAGGCACACGCACACCAGCGCACTCCCGCTCCTCGGGGTCCCTAGAAGCACACGTCACAGACGTGCGGGGGGGTTTCTTGCTTCCAGAGAGGAAGCTCGGGGCCTCACATTGACAGGGCAACAGAGCAGGGCCGGGGAGCCTCCGGAAGCAGGAAGCTAGACGGTGCGGCCGCCCAAGACAACAGCTGTCTGCCGAGCGGAACACACCCGCACCCGTTTCACAGACAGGGAGATGCGGTGGCTGTGTCACCAGCTGGTGTCCAGAAAGGTGGCATGGACAGAGGGCACAGTGAGCGAGGTGCCCTGGATGAGCCCCACGCTGTGGGCACCCTCAGAGCTGCTCATGGGCAGGGGCACAGGCGGCAGGGCACATGGCCGGGGGCTGCCCTGGCTTCCTCCCGATTTCATTTTCATTCACCTGCTGCCTTCCTGTCCTGCAGACTCCTAGACATCCCTCAAAGTCCAGCCTAGAGGGGCCCCCACAGCTGGGGTCTCGATGGGCCTGGGGGGGAGGGGTCCAAGCAGTCCTGCCCGTCCCTGGGGACCGGCGGCGGGGACCGGCGGCGGGGAGCGGAGGGGGCGTCTCCGCAGGAGCCTCCCGAGTCGCCGCAGCCTCAGGCGGGCAGAGCGGCTCCTGCTGGGGAAGCCACAGCCGCCCTAATCACCCAGCCCTCCAAGTGCTCAGGCTCATTATCCAATTGGCGTTTTATCTCTAATTATTGCCTTTATAGCAAACACAGGCTCACAGGGGGAGAGGAAAGTACGCCTGTCGCACTGCGGGAGGCGCCGCGGCAGTCCGCGCGGCTGGTGCGCTCGGAAGAGGGGTTTTCCGAGTGCTGGCCGCTCCCTGGGCGAGGAAGACAGGGGTGCGGTTCCTACAGTTACTGCCCCAAAAGGGCAGTAGTTCCCAGCCCACCGCCTGGGCCAGGTCCTCACTGATGGCCCGTGACCCCGGCCCCCCGGCCCCTCCCAGCTGCCCCTTCACAGGCGCGGGGGGAGGTTCTGTGGCTGGAGGTGAGTCTGTCCGGTGAGGGCTTCGTACCCACGGAGGCTAATAGCCGTGCGAAGAGGGGCCTGACCCCCTTCCCCTCCCCCCTCCACTCCTCAGGGCTTTTAGCTTCTGGCGTCTCCTCCCTGAGGCTGACCCGTGTCCTGTCCTGGTGGCCTGGGGCCTCCCCCTGCAGGTCTCCGCGTGCTGCCTGGCTAGGCCTGGAAGGTCCTCACCAATGGAAACCCACACCCACCAGCCCTGTGACCCCGAGACACAACCTGGGGCCTCTGCACGGCACCTGGGAGCCGCCGGGCCCTGCTGGCAGCGTCCTGTGAGGTGACCCCGGTGCCAAGGCTCCTCCACAGCCGGCAGAGCCCTTTCCCAGTCACATCCCCGGACTCCAGACCACGTCTCCCTGGCGCCGCTGTGGGCGTGGGACCCGCTGGAGGAGAGGGCTGGCCCTGGAGTCAGGCCTCCAGGAGCACAGGGCAGACCTGGGCCGCCCTGTTTCTCACTCAGCTCCACAAGCCTGCCTCTCGTCTCCCCCTTGTTTTCTCCCCGACACAGGTCCCCAGGACAGCCTAGAAGAGGACCCACTGGCTGGCCCCGCCACAGCCCTCCCCCAATCCCTCCACCTTCCCTCCCTCCCCAGCCACAGCCCTGCCCCTCCTCCAGTGGGGCCTGCGCTCCAGAGCCCTGGAGTTCCTGTTCCTGAAGTCCTTCTGGCCTCTGCCTCCCCCCACCCCCCACCCCGTTTCCTCCTGTCACAGACAAGTCCTGGCCTCCCTTGGGCCACGCACTACAGCACCACAGGCCACTAGGCACCTGGCGGCGTGTCAGCTGGTCCTTGGGCACGGGTGACCAGAGGGCAGCACCCCAAGACTTATGGGGGACAGGATGTGCCAGAGTCCCAGCTCTGAGCCAAGGAGCAGCAGGGCGGCCTCCCGGGTCCTGCCACTAAGCTCACAGGACCACTCTGAGCGCCACTGAGTCCTGGGTCAGAGGCTCCCTGTCCTGCACCACCGCTGACAGCTGCGCCTCTGGGGCCGTGTGGCCAGCTCCCCGGGGCCACGAGCACAGCTAACAGTGACCCACTTTCCGCCGCCTCACGAGCCTCACTGTGGGGATGTTGGGGGGCAGTTTCTGCAGCCAAGTGCGGCAGACACCCCTCCTGCCCGGAGGGATGACTGCACTGGCTCTTGGGAAAGTGAGTCAGCAGAGTGGGCAGCCCCGAGCCAGTGCGGCCTCCTCTGGGCTGGCAGCACGTGGGCACCGGGGAGAAGTCTCCAAGAGCAGGCAGGGGCAGCCGCAGTGCTGTGATGAGGGCCACGGGACTGCGGGGAGGACAGGGCCCAGTCCTCCACCCCCAACAGCCTCTGCCTAGCGACCTGGATTGGAACTCACAGCCTGAGGGCTGCCCTTGACCATGCTGGGACCTGAGTGTCCCAGGAGCTGCTGCCGAGGACACTGTCCCCACAGGGACCACACAGCCCCACGCCCAGGCCAGGACCCACATACAGGCCTGCTCTGCCCCCCTGGCAGCAGTGGCAAGACCACTGCCTCTTCTCAGTCCCCACCCCCTGCCTGCTGGCCAGCTCCCCTCAGGTGAGAGAGGAGTGAGGGAGTCAGCTGCTGGGGGAAAGCCAGGGTCTGCCTGGCTCCCAGGACCAGCTCCTCCTGTGCCCGGACTGGAGTGAGGAACGGAGGGGACAGCCAGCTGCTGGAAGGCAGGGGCAGGTGACCAAGCTCCAGATGATGACCGAGCCTTTCGTAAGCCCCTGGAGGCACTGAGGGATCCGCCTGGGGTCCCAACCACAAATGGAGTGTGTGACCCCAAAAAGGTGTGTCCAAGTCCTAGTCCCTGGACTGCCTGCACGTGACCTTGTTTAAGAGTTGGGTGATGAGATCCCCTGCACTCAGACGCCCTAACCGCAGTGAGTTCTTCCAGGAGAAAGACGGAGATGGGACACAGACTCAGGGCGAACCCTGGGAGCTGGACACGGGGCCTGGCAGCTTCTCCCTCACAGCCTCGGGAGAGCCAGCCCGCTGACTCCAGCCTCTGGAACAGGAGGAACAAGGCTCTGTGTGCCAGCGACCAGGTGTGTGGCCGTTTGTGGAGCCCAGTGTAGGCATTTTCAACTCTCACGAGTATTTACCCTGGGTTTCCTTTCATTGGAAAACTCCCAGGACGTTTTGTTCATCCCCCGGGAACTTGGTCGAAGAACTTATGATCAGGTGGCTCACTGAGATGGGAGCTGCCACCCATGCCCCCACAGTCAGCAAAAGTGTGTCCCAGGCTCCTGACAGGAAGTGGGCTCTCCACCCGGCATCAGACAGGAGACAATGAGGGCAGGACTGTGGGTTCGGCCGCCTCTGAAGGAGCCACAGTGCAGGCCCACCTGGTTCTCACCATTGCTTGACCCCGGAAGGGGTGCCTCTGAGCCTGGGGGCTGCAGACCCCTCAGCCTGGAGCCATGGCTGACCCGGGGGCACGTGGGCTCCCGCCGTGCCCCGGCCTGGATGGGGCCACCCGTTCCAGCAATGTCTGGTCAGAACTAAGGCTCCCAAGTACCTTCCGCGGAATGCTGACCCTCACAACAGCCCTGCTCTTTCTCAGCGAGGGAGGCGGGCTGGCCAGGCCTTTGTGGCACCCAGGAGCACTTGCCCGCCACTGCACAAGGGGTCAGGTGGCAGCCTGCACAAGCCCTGCCCTGTCGCTGCCCCAGCGGGTGCGGGCACGAACTCTGCCCCTTCGCCCCTGCGCACAGGCTTAGGGAGTTAACAACGCTCCGGGCAAGGAAGTGGGGCAAAATCCAGAGCCCAGAGGCCCATGGTGTTCATTTCCCAGAGCAGCTAAGGGCGGCCGGTCTGCGGGGCTCCCGGGC